TTCACAAAGTTGGGTTCTTATTAGTATTGTGCATATACACTTGACTTTTCACATCACTCATTTACGATATAGCGAACGAGGTAGTGGTTTGGAAGATTCAATTTCTTCCGCAAATCATCGCCCAGTTGAATTGGACCGATTGCTCATACATCTACATTTGATCGCAAACACGATCCCTTCTGTGTAGGAGGGAATCAAATGCCATAACGCCAACTACTCCCCAAGTCCGGTTGATGGACCCTTCTGGTATAATTCTTTCCCACCCGTTAAATGCTTAATGTTGAATGCTACCCATTCCCGCCAGTCTTTCCTGTAGAACTTTTTTTGGTATAGATCCCCTTTGAGAACCCTGCCAGTAAAACGCCGATGTTGAAATCGATTATGCAGCTCCCATGGAAATTTTAGCAGGTAACTCCCCACAACCTCATGCAATTATCATCATTTTTCGTAAAATAGAAACACTGGCCTCAAAATCTGAGAGCCATTTACTTGGCGTACTTCGTACGGAAGTACTTGGCCGCGTTGACCATGTTGACCAACGCTTCCTTGGTCTCCTTCCACTGGCGGGTCTTGAGACCGCAGTCAGGGTTAATCCAGAGCTGCTCAGGCTTGAGGTACTGGAGCATCTCCTCGATGCGGTCCTTGATCTCCTGCTCGCTGGGCACACGCGGGGAGTGGATGTCGTAGACACCGGGTCCAATGTGGCGAGGGTAAGCCTCCTCAACAAAAACGCCCAGAAGCTTAGAGTCAGACTTGCTGTTCTCAATGGATAGCACGTCAGCGTCAAGGGCGGCAATGGCGTGGAAGAAGTCCTGGAACTCAGAGTAACAGAAGTGAGAGTGGATCTGAGTCGAGTCTTCGACGCCGACGGTAGCGAGCCTGAAGGCCTTGACAGCCCAGTCAAGGTAGGCCTCACGCTCCTTGCCGGAACGGAGAGGGAGACCCTCACGGAGGGCAGGCTCGTCAACCTGGATGACATCAATACCAGCCTTCTCAAGGTCAATAACCTCGTCGCGCAGGGCCAAGGCAAGCTGCTCAGCCTGTACCGACTGGTGGACGTCATCACGAGGGAAAGACCATCGCAAGCAGGTAACCGGGCCAGTCAACATACCCTTCATGGGCTTCTTGGAGACCGACACGGCGTACTTGGACTCCTTGACGGTCATAGGAGCGGGGCGAGAAATGTCACCGACGATAATAGGAGGTCGGACACAGCGAGAGCCGTAGCTCTGAACCCAGGCGTGCGTGGTGAAGGCATAACCATCCAGACGCTCACCGAAGTACTGAACCATGTCGTTTCGCTCGGGCTCACCGTGAACGTAGACGTCCAGGTCAAGCTCATCCTGGATCTTGACGTTCATGTCAATCTCCTGCTCGATGAACTTGTCATACTGGGCCTCGTTGATTTCTCCCTTGGTGAACTTGTTTCGTTGGACTCTGATCTCCTTGGTCTGGGGGAAAGAGCCAATCGTGGTGGTAGGGAACAGAGGAAGGTTAAGTTTGTTCTGTTGTTGGGCAATTCTGGAGGGGAACTCAGACTTGCGGTTGTAGTCGGAGGGAGCAATCTTGGATTGTCTCTCCTTGACCTGGGGGTTGTTTGTTCGCTTAGAAGTAGCGCGAGCGTTCATAGACTTGGCGTTAGCCTCAAGAGCCTCTCGGACGGAAGCAGGGCCCTCAGTGACTGCCTTGGCGATGATGGCAATCTCGACAGCCTTCTCAGAGGCGAACGAGAACCAGTCAGCAATCTCGGGGTCAAGCTTCTTCTCGCTAGCGAGAGTGTGAGGGGTGTGGAGAAGAGAGCTGGAAGTGGCAACGATGACACGGTCCTTGCCAAGCTTCTGGATAGCGGTCTCAGCGATCTCAATTGCGCGCTTGAAGTTGGTCTTCCAGATGTTCCGGCCATCGACAACACCGGCAGAGAGAATGGTCTTGGGTCCAATGGCACCCAAGACAGTCTCTAGCTGCTCAGGGTTGCGGACAAGGTCAATGTGAAGGGCGTAAACATCCTTGGGGACTAAATCGAGGTTGTGAACAATGTCACCGAAATAGGTGGTGAAGACAAGGTTGGGGATCTTGCCGGCCAAGCTAGCGAACTTCTCGTAGGCGGGCTTGAAGGCAGCCTTGGTCTTGGCGGGGAGGTCGAAGACGAGAACAGGCTCGTCAATCTGAACAGTCTCGGCACCAGCCTCCTTCAGCTTAGTGAGGAGCTCTACATACACAGGCAGAAGCTTGTCAAGAAGATCAATGGGAACGACACTCTGGCCACGGTCCGCCTTACCCAGGTGGAGGAAAGACACGGGTCCGAGCAAGACAGGTCGGGTGGCGATGCCAGCCTCCTTAGCCTCGAGGAACTCAACAACGGCCTTGGGGTTGGCGGTGAGCTTGAAGGTCTGGTTGTCCTGTAGGGTGGGCTTGACGTAGTGGTAGTTGGAGTCAAACCATTTCACCATTTCTAAACTGGGAACATCCACACCGCCCTTTTGGTGACCACGGCCCATAGCAAAGTATTCATCGACGCGGTCGAGGTTGGCATTGGAGTATCGCTCAGGAACGGCCTGTAGAGTTCAGAGTTAGCTTATCGGATGATGATACATTGTAGATAAGAGGATTGATAACTTACACCGAAGTCCTGGATGTGGGAGAGGACCTGGTCGTAGAGAGCAAAGTCGTTGCTGGGGATGATGTCGACGCCGGCATCCTTCTGGATTTTCCAGTGGGCAAGACGGAGACGCTTAGCCTCAGCGAGGAGGTCGGCTTGGGAGAGATTGCCAGCCCAGTCTTGGATGCATAGTTAGCTATTGAATCCAATCGACCAGCATCCGGGTTACTCGGTTCCTTCCGGAAGAGCCGGGGAAAACTCACAAGCTTCAGTTGCCTTCTTCAGGTCACGGTTCACACCCATACGGGGGAATCCCAGAACTGCGGATTGAACCATCTTGACGGTGATTCGGCGTATCTGGGAGAAGAGAGGCTTTCTGTGATAAGTAGATGTTTAGTATGGAATTTTCTTATTATTTGGGAGCTCAGTGTGGATAGTTGGATAGTGGGATGGTGGGGTCGTGTACTTACGAGAAATTCAGACTGTTGCTTCCAACTCTTTGTCTTTCTGTTAGAAAGAGTCAGGCCAATGGATGTATGGCAACAACAGTCGAGAGAAATAAGGACTTATTTGAGGAGGAAAAGGATGGAGGGAAGGGGGAATGGTAGAAAGTGTAAGCAGAAGCAAGCGGTGAAGGAGGGGTTCTTATGGGAGCTCAGGAGTACAGAGTAACGGTCTATGAGGGGTTAACAATTTTTTCAGTTGTCGTGCTATGAGCTAACCCCAGCGAGAGCCAACAGGATGCACTCAGGGTCCGAAAGCGGGGAGAGATACTCCTTTTCTTTCTCTAGCTCAAGTTGCTGCTCTATCGTTTGGTTGAGGCTGGAGCCTTCGTCTTTTCACTGTGCCCCTCCAAGAGTAGCGGATAGATAAGGTTGTTAATGCCTCATGTACTAATTCGTCTCAGCACACCTTTTATCAGATGACTAGGTACCAGTAAGATACACGCAGCTTATGTCCTACCTAGCAATACGGAGTGACGGAGTTCTGGAACAAGGTACATTTGCGAGTTATCTATTGGTCCTCCAGCCACCCAATTACATATTCGGGCTTCCGATAGCAAAATCGGTCAAGGAGCCCCCGCGAAAGCGATTCGCCGAAATCATACAGATGCCCATGTTTGTTTCTCCGGACCACGCAAATCGCTCCGAACATTAGGTAAGATATGCAGAGATTCCCACATGTCAATCGTCGTGTCAACGGTTCAACGGTTTCAATAGTGCCCAATCTACGACCCTTGTCTCTATGCAACCATAATCAATTCCGCCGCGACCGAGCCCGTAGTCTTGGATGCCTGCCTTGTCATTCCCCGTTACATTCCCTCATATTAGAGTCGTATTAGTTTGCAGACTACTCCCGAATTAGTTACTAAGTCGTTTCCTAGCCGGCAGCCGCATGAGACCATAGTGAGCATAGATGGCTAACCTAAATAAGTGGATTTGACGCCCGTAAAACGACATCGACGCCTCTGTTTCGCCGTGTGCCGTACGATGTCTTCCTATTCTTAGCGTGTATCTTACTGCAAACAATACTTTCAGCATCAAAGCTTCTAGATAGTACTGGTTCCCGAGCTTATTATTGTTTTAAGATTATTTTCGACTTGTTCCTGCTACGTTGCAGTGTAGTGACCGGGGATATAACAGCAGGCCTAGTTCGAGAAGCTTCAACACGGTCACTTCATATCCTCAAGGTATAGAGTTACAGGTAGATTTCAGATACTCAGTCTTGCTTTTCACCTCCTTCATCTATTAAGGTAACTGTCGGTAATATGCCTCTCAATGCCGCTTAATGGACATAGAGAGAATCTCCAATGAATTTCGGTATGATCAATATCAACAGCCAGGTGCAGATATGAGTGTATCTACACAGAACAATATCCGCAAGTATCGTAAAGCTTGTAGAAGGACAAAGATGAATCATATTGTCTATGTTGTTCGATAGGAGAAATCCTATCTACCTACTGTCTGGGATATCAACGATTGGAGTGTTCAGCACGTTGCCTTGACTTTGGTAATGTCGATTTACCCAAGTTACTTCTATGGCATGATCCAGGCCGTCTAAAGAGAGTCGAATTGAATCACATGTATCTGGTCAACAACCTAGCAAGACTCTTCCGAAGGCAGCTTAAGTACGTTAAATTGGCGATAAACTTAGCATTGTTAAATATGGCCATGATAACTAGGGCTTGAGTAAATACCAACTTATGATGCCTCAACGACTTCCAAGTCATTTGAATAAAAGTATGAAACAAGATATAGAGAGAAACGGCAAAATCACAAAATATTTCGATTCTGTATCGATAAAACCCAGACATACCACATTCAGACTGCAAGAAGAGATAAAATATGACCAAAAGAGAAAAAAAAGATGGTCCCAGTTAAACTGGGAGCCATGGGAATTGAGCCCACGGCGAGGCTCGAACTCGCAGCCTTCAGATTAAGAGTCTGACGCTCTACCGATTGAGCCACGCGGGCTTGTAGACGGCTTGCTACTTGATGGTAAGGAAGTTATCGTGATTTTTAAAGTCGTAGTGTGGGTTAGGGTTTAATTGTGAAATCAACTTCAGTCTATAGGGCCCGCACTACATACTATGTGTCATAGTAGAGCCCCGTTCGAGAAAAAAATTAAACCATAAAGTTTGCGGCCACTTGGTCTAAGCTGGGGGAACTAGTTGAAAAAAAAAAAACCTTCGCTGAGACTCTGACCTGCCTACGTATCTAAATATACTCGAACGGAACAATGAGAGATAGATATTACCTAAAACTCTTACACCGGTAGCTTTCATGTTAATATCCCAAAGAGTTAAGATGCTATTCCTGAGAAGGAAGAGGTATGGGTAGAAATCTAGGATTTTTTTATAGCAATTAGACAAAATATATATTCCACATCATAGAATTTATACATTGGAGAGTGAATATGATAGTATTCCATTGCAATATGGCAATATGCACAAGGAGAGTGGAATGTCACGGGCACAAAGCCAAAGGACGCGTTGATACAAGTAGTCTCATTATCGTGATAAGTCAATACCTAGCGGTTACATCGTTAGGTACCATCTTCGGTTACATGTAAAACATATAGAGGTGTCATTTTTGGAATCGTTCTTGTAGATATGGTGTTATATGAAGTAGCAACCAGACATAGTCCAATGTAACTTCCAGTTAAAGTAAAGTGCCCAGGCGAATAGGAAAGATGCTTAAATTTGCATGTATGTATCTAGCTGATGATGACTTCATGGTCCCGATAGCATCCTATTGAGAAGGAACGACTATACCTTCACTAATTCATCCCTGGTCTGATACAACTGTCAGGCGGTAGCTTCTTACACAATCTGAATCCTCTTTAGAAGGTACTGAATATTCCATCTACCTAGCTCGATTTGATCAAGTCCAAATGCGTAAAGTTGGATGGTCCGACGTCTAATGTATCGAAGCGAGACTCAAGGTATCGGCCTCTCCAACTCCAGCCAGGCTGCTGTTGAGTGTTTCTTGGAAATCCATGACAGAATTTAGCCCAACCCCCATTCGTTTCCAATTGGACATCTTTGAGGATGTCTATTTTCTGCTGCTGTCGCAGTCGGCGAGCTATTTATAAAGAATCTGACCTAGAGAGGCAAGATATTATCGAGCTTCCAGTTCACCCGCCCCGAGCAAAGTTATCCAAGCCACCGTTGTCAACGTCCGAACTGGAGCTCTCACCACCCCCGATCGTGACCACGAAAACGCCATCGCTATTGCATAACTCAATACCAGAGGCCACTGTTGACCCTAATATCCTCGAAGTTGAAGATTCAGACGACGATGAACCTATCCGCAGTACCAGAAATTCCAGTACGGGCACGCTGGGAGTCATTAAGACCAAGTTTATTAGACCCCTATCCCAGAAATCCGACCCGAAAAGATATTCACAACAATCTCTTGGTACGAGCGATGAAGAGATTGCAAGGCGTGCTGAGTTAAAGCGCCTGATGCATAAGAGAATCCAAGAAGAGTTGAAGAGTGAAGAGGAACAAGAAGAAGCCGAGGTGAAAACGAGCAACCATCAGGAAATGAGGCCGGACGGTTCCGCGAATACTGGATTACCTGGTGGTGGACCTCGAGACAATTTAGAATTTTCCGTCTCGGATGTAAACGATGTCGGATCGAAAGACCTTATTCTTGTCTCTCCAGATGATGTACTCCTTTCCCTCCCAGTTAGCAACTCTCAACCAGCAATCTCCCTTCGACTAAGTAGTTGTCCGGGGTCGCCTTGTCGGTCACACGAGAATTCCATTTCCGATAATCACGGAACCATAAAGGAGCGAGGTTCTTTGCCACAATTTCCCACTTCTCCCCAGTTAAGCCCTGTCCATTTACCGAGTGCTCGAGGTTCGGAATCCCTCTGTTCATGGAGACTTTCCTATAGCACTGAGCAGCTCGCAAACTACCTTGGACTTCCTGATAACTCAAATCCTGACAAATATTCCCACCACACACAATCTGATACTCGAAGTGAGAGTACTAACAAAGAAGATACACATAAGGATTGCACTGAGGAGGGTTCGCTAAATGCCCAAGAGTCTATAACGAACATAGAGCCGACAGAGACCGCACAATCGCACAAGCCCTGCACAATCCATTGTCAACAACACGACCTACGTGATGCGAAGGATTCTGAAGATATAAATACTGAAAGTTCTCCTGACACAACCCCTAGCAAAAATTCACCATTGGACATCTGGCTACGCAGCCAAGTGTTGCAATCAGCTTCAGCTTTATCAAGCAGAAGGACCAGTGCTAGGATTTCTCAGATACTTCCAGGAAGCTCTAGCTCCAGTATTCGACTGAGTCAATTCGAAGATCCCGGCGCGCCTCGGGGAGTATTGGAAACTGTACAGCGCTCATCTGATAACCTGCCTGAATCGCCGTGTTATCCTCACTCTCGCGTCCCTCATGCAGATAAAGGAACTGATTCAATTGCCCTACCCAATTCTTGGTCTAACGAGCCTCAGTTATCTATCATGAAGGCCACTAACGACACTCCTGCTGATGGGGTTCCTCAGCTGCTGGAACATAACCGTGAAGCCTCTTCCTCCCACTACGCATCCTCACGATATACCACTAGACCCAACAGTGGCCAGACTACCGAAAAGGAGCCGCGTTCAAAGTTAGCTGAGCTCTTTGGTGGTCGAAAGGCCATGTCATCTCTCTCAGCCTTTAATTGTAAGTTTTATTATTATTTCAAAGTTTCCATCACAGCTAACGATGATACTCAGGCCTTACATCCCCTAGTCGCACACCAGATGCCGAGAAATCGGATATTAGCTCTTACAAGACTGCCCCCAACGAAGCGTCAGCATTGGATATGACCATGTATCGTCAACCAGCAGAGGCAGGTTCGGAGGTGTTCTCCGATACGGCAAGCTTCAAGCAACGAGAAGAGGAACTTAAATCGATCGAAAGGCGATTCGGACAAGTTCGTCGGGTGACGACGCCAATTACTAGCAAGTTCAAGGAAGAATTCGACGAACCTGCAGCACCGAGTAACACCAAGAACTCCATATTCGCCAAGTTGCAATTTACAATTCCTAAGCGAGCGAAGCAAGCGCCGAAGGTTATCCAGAGTTATAATATGCATGATGTCAAGCGTAACAGTTCTGGGAGTCCGCATGCTGAAGTTAGTCGCGTTGGTCAACAAGAGCTAGAGAAATGCGCTGTTGACAAATCGTCAACATCATCATCTGACATGGGCTAGAAGCCCGAGGATGTGGAAAGTGCTATAAGCTCACAACCACGCACCATTACGCTTGATGAAGACGTTGCCCATGCGCAACGCGGAGAAATCTTGTCTCAGAGTCAAAGTCGCCTAGAGACTACTCAAGCATCACAGGAACACGTCTCTTGCAATCCTAACCAGAAGACCATTGGCTCGGAGCCGACTGGTTCGGGAAGCAAGGTTATCTATGCTGCCACCCTCTCAACTCCAAAGCCTAGAGCAGAACTTGGATCTAGTCTTAAACTTCCCAAAGGCCTTGAAGATAGCAGCAGCCAACGATCGGACATATCGAACAGTGTTCTGAGAGAATGGGTAAATCTGATGAATGGTAAAGGCCCCCAACCCCAAGCAGAGTTAATGGAAGAGGCCCGAGAGCGTGCTCCTCAGCGGCTTCGAACACCTCCTGCCTCATGGGCGAGATGGCCCTCGCACACGCGTGATGAACGAACAGGACCAGCAGGTAAGAGAGATAGGGTGACTTCAAGGGATTTCGCAGTTCAGGAAGGATCTAACGCTAGTGCGACTTGGTCTACAGACAAACCCAACGAGCTTCAGAAGAGATACATTAACCCTATACCCCGAAGTCTGTCATCTCAACTGAGCAGAGCAGTGAAAGAAGGCCTGAGCAGAGTGCATGGAAGTCTGAATCGCGACACGAGAGTTTCTTCGGAGACATTACATAATCGCCAGAAGCCGGACGGACACCTTGAATATCCTGAACTCGAAATCCTCCCCATGCAAGGTGGTTATAAGGAGTTACAGGCACTCGAAAAGCAAATTGGCTCGATGAAGCGTGGGTCTACCGCTGCAGAAAGTCAGACAACCCGGGTGGATAGCGATAACCCAAGAACCCCCTTGAGTGCGCGCCTTGCTGAGGAGGTTCATATGATGCAGCATAGAGCCTCCAAAGATCCTTGCCGAGATGATGAGGTCACGATGTCGACTTCACACAATGTTCCTCCTATGACCACGAAGCCAGCACTCTTGTCTCCTCCAGGTGGCTCTGAAGTGACACGTCGATTCGCAGCTCCCGAGTCCCATGTCAGCTACGAGGATTGTGTACCTAAACACATGCTAGAAGATGAGGAGCCCGTGAACGCCATGACGACAGCAGAGAAGGACCTCAATACGCAGACAGCTTAATATTATTTCGTCGGGCCCAATTCATGGAGCACTACTCCTATACTAGCATACATACCCCTATTGAATACGACGATTATATGGAAAAGACGAAACGCAAGGATGACACGAACGGAAAAACACGATATCTTCCCCTGGAGTCTGTCTACCCGCCTCTAAGAGGTTTCGTGGAGAAGAAATCATGAAACGAGTACTAAGTGAAGAAAAAAAAAAAAAAAACAAGTGGTATTAATCGTTGCAGAGGGGGGAAATCTGTGCGCTCCGTTGTAACGAATGCTGATTGCTGAAGATGTATCCCTGACGAGGAGTGTGGTATGCATCGTTACTGATATGTGTTGGGAGGATTAACCGAGAAACAGACGATATGAAAACTCACCTTACTTCTTATTCGCCTTGCCTTAGGGATGCTGATTTCAAGGAACACGTGTGGTGTCGCCCTTCTCCTCGTCGCTTGCTGGAAAACTGATAACTACTACTACGATGCTATGTGATTTCGGAAGGATGACCCTGTATTGACCGCAACGAATGGGCATACGCTTGTAATGATGAATCCGTCTTAATTATAGCATGAAAATATAAT